ATGATTTGTGAGAAAAACTGTTGTAGCAGAGGATGGTTTCGATCCATCGACCTCTGGGTTATGGGCCCAGCACGCTTCCGCTGCGCCACTCTGCTACGCACCCCAGATGGGACTCGAACCCACAATCCCTGGCTTAGGAGGCCAGTGCCTTATCCATTAGGCCACTGGGGCTGTGGACTCTGCAGCAGCTTGTGTGTTCATGCAGAATGTGACCTTTGTGTGAGACCCTGAATGTGTTTTGTGTCTTTCATTGTGTCACAATACACTGAAGAGAATTGTTTGGTTCATAATGTATAAAAAAGGACAAGCACAAAGTGATGTCCTCAAATGTCCTGTGTTGACACACGTCTACATTTCAGGGGGAAACGGAGGATATGTCTCCCTCAAACACACGTGATATGCTCTGATTGTGCAAAAGGTCAAGAGGTTTGTCAATTTATAAAATAAATGAATTTATCATTAAAATGGTGACACACTTAGTGCCACAAACAAAACACACTAAAAAAGGACAGAAGAGTAAATCAGGCCAATGTGTGTGTTGAATCTGCAGGGATAATATTAGATTTAAAAAATGGAGCTACAGAAGACTAAATATTTGCAAGCACCACAGACTGCCTGAGAGCCTCACTGTATTATGTTCCATTCCATTTTGAACTGTCAGCCTGAAATTTGCATTTTCTTTTGCATAAATAAAGACATTTCCACCTAAATTGATGCAGAAAAGACACAAACCGGTGCATAAAATGTCACCAGAATGAAAGAAATGAAGTGTCTGATGCTTACAATTTCCTGGGGGGTCAATACCTAATGTGAGAAGTTAGAATCAGTGAATCTTTCTGCATTTGTGTTTCAAAAATAAATCGTGAATCTATTATCAAAATGGGTACCAACTACACTCTGCAGTGATATTGTTAGAATCAGTTGCCATCGCATATGAACATGCATAGATTTGCTTTGAACTTATAAAGAAAAGAAAGCATAGAGAAACTGCTTGGTATTTAGAGGGTTAAACATTGTTGTTCCATGGGTGTTATCCTACACGTTGCTTCTTGAGTTAATCTCTGTATTTCAATACCAGCCAGTCTGGATAAACACCACCGGACACACACCGGCGAGCGTCCCTTCAGCTGCGATGTTTGTGAGCAGCGCTTCACGGAGAAAGGCGCCCTCATCCGCCACAAGGCCAGCAAGCACGAGGAAGGCCGCCCTCACTGCTGTCACATATGTGGCAAAACCTTCAAAGGTAACATGAGCCATGCTGAATGTGCAATCAATGGGCCCCGCATACTTTGTCCATGTTTTCTGTCCTGAAGAATTATATGTCCATAAAGAAATAATTAAGGTCTCCCTGTTTTTCTTTTTTTACCAGCGAGGGAGCAGCTACGTGTCCACCTGCGTCGCCATAAAGGCATGAGGAAGTTTGAGTGCATCGACTGCGGCTACAAGTTCACTCGACAGGTTGGTTGACACGTAACAGTTTCCTGAAGCTGAAAGGGACAGAGGAAGTTGTAAAGGCCTGTTGTGCTTGTCCTTTTTGATACATTATGAACCAAACAATTCTCTTCAGTGTATTGTGACACAATGAAAGACACAAAACACATTCAGAGTCTCACACAAAGGTCACATTCTGCATGACCACACAAGCTGCTGCAGAGTCCACAGCCCCAGTGGCCTAATGGATAAGGCACTGGCCTCCTAAGCCAGGGATTGTGGGTTCGAGTCCCATCTGGGGTGCGTAGCAGAGTGGCGCAGCGGAAGCGTGCTGGGCCCATAACCCAGAGGTCGATGGATCGAAACCATCCTCTGCTATGATAGCTTTTCTTTCAAGCAAACTGCATGTATTTGGGTCTGGGTCCTACACCACTGTACTTCAAGAGCCCCTAACTCTGCAAATATTCATAGCATGACGGTAATATTTTGCATGGCTTCATTACATATACAAGCGTTATTGTAAACAAAATATATGAGATGACCCTGGTCTGAGTTTTCTTTGGTTGCTTTATTATTGAAACTAAATCTGTCAGGCGTATGATGGAGTCTGTGGAGAGTAGCTTTTGTGCTCTACAAAACTTTTTCCTTCATCAGCGAGGGAGCAGCTACATGTCCACCTGCGTCGCCATAAAGGCATGAGGAAGTTTAAGTGTATCTACGGCAGCTACGAAACAGTTTCCTGAAGCTGAAAGGGACAGAGGAAGTTGTAAATGCCTGTTGTGTAGAAGATGATTTGTGAGAAAAACTGTTGTAGCAGAGGATGGTTTCGATCCATCGACCTCTGGGTTATGGGCCCAGCACGCTTCCGCTGCGCCACTCTGCTACGCACCCCAGATGGGACTCGAACCCACAATCCCTGGCTTAGGAGGCCAGTGCCTTATCCATTAGGCCACTGGGGCTGTGGACTCTGCAGCAGCTTGTGTGTTGATGGAGAATGTGACCTTTGTCTGTGATCCTGAATGTGTTTTGTGTCTGTGTGGTGCCTTTCACACTGAAAACCTATTCTTTGGTTCACAATATATCCAAAAAAATACAACCCTAACCCTAAGTTTCAGTTAATACACTCATGATACTCTCTTGTCAAGTCAACACTAAAGAAAACACTTGAAAAAGTGAATATGTCAGTAACTATTCACAGTAATGCGGGAAAAGTTATGTAAATTAAAATACATGAAGTTCGACCTGCCTCTATGTACTTTGAGGGCCTGTAACTCAGATAATACTCACAGTATGCAGGTAAAATTTGACTTCATTAAATAAACTGTGGGTTTCGTGCAAAAAAAAGATGGAAGGTGGAAGGCATGATTAACTTTTTCATGGAATGATTAAAAAAGTAATGTTCAAGTAGCTTGTTCCGACATCCAACAGTCCAGACTCCTAAAATATTACATTTTCACCCACAAAATTCAAAAACAAGCAGTAAAGTCACATATCTGAGAAGCTAGAGCTGATGGGGTGTTTGGATTTTTTTTTTTAATGAAAAGCTACTTAAACTGGCATTAATCATCAACTTTTTATTGTTATTTGTCAACTTAATGTTTCACTCTACTCTTTAGTCTGAATGAACACAGTTTCCATCCCCTGACCTCATCACCCAACTGTCACTTGTTTCCGTTTCCTCTTCCAGGCGCATCTGCGACGACACCTTCAGATCCACAAACGCACTGAGAACTACAGCCCGAGGCAGAGGAAGCTGAGGAACGTGGTCGTGGAGGATGTGGAAGGAAGTCCGGGAGAAAATGAAGCTGAAAAATCAGTGGAAGCCTCACTGATCGCCGATGGGACGGGTTACGTCTCAGAGACAGCCATTGTCCAGGAGTCTACAAACCCAGAGTCCTCGACAGGCCTCCCCTCTGGCTGCATAGTGAGGGTGGTGATCGGGTCGGGGGAGGCGGTGATGGAGGAGGTGGTGTCCAACCAGAACCTGGTCCATCACGTCGAGGCAGCCGAAAGTTTCTCTGTGCCCGAGGTGTTGCAGCGAACACAGCTGGTCACTGAGGCGTACCAGTCACCGATTGACATGGAGGGAATCGTTGAGAATTTATCAGAGAGTAAGACCTGAAGAGACTGTCTGCAACACCAGCCTCCTTATCTACACATGGTACTAACACGGGATGACCTTCCATCTCGTTGGAATGTTTTTCAGTAGAACTCTGGCTGAGATAAGAACACAGAACACAACTGCAAGTTTGTTAAGAACAGGTGTGAACCTGTATAAATATGACATAAGGGATGATGAGGACTTAAATGTGGCCCGACAGATCTGAACGCAGAAAAACTGCAAGAATCGGCTCGAGCTGAGTTTTCGCACATGCAAGAAAGGAGAAACAATTAACTCCCATGAAATCAATAGTTTATATACAGTAAATAAGCTGCATGTTTGTTAAAGCTGCAAAATAATATTTTTTTTCTCGTTTAGCCTAATTTCATCAATGTGCCTACAGCAGCTGTGTGTCACCTTTTGTGACTAAAACGATTAAACAAGTACTTTGATATTCATTGGTTCAATCTGAAAGAACAGCTCTGCCACAGTTTCTACTTCTACAAAATGTTCAATTTCCTTTTGGACAATGTCAAGAAGAGGATAATTCAACTGTGTTTTGTTTTTTTATATTTGTGCTGGACTGCTCTTTAGTAATGTAAATATGGATGATAATGATGGCAGAGCTGCTAGAGTACCAAATAAAGTGTCCCAAGACAACTGCCAGCAGCTTAACAATGAATGTAACATTTTTCAGAAACATCAGCTCATGTTTAAAGAATAATTAGGGCTTATTTTAACATGTATTTTCCATCAAAGGTGGAGTATGTGATTGAAATTCCAGCACACTTTGTAAGATTCTGTGAGTATCTCCTCATGGCCTGCTGGCTGAGTGTCCATTACAAAAAAAATCTAAGTGATGGTAAACCTGACGCATGCTAGCTAGCAGTCTTTGGCCAGAACAGCAGACTCCACCTTTAACTGTGGCTCCATGAGTCATGCTAGATTCAAGGAAATGCAGCTTTAAAAAAAAACAAACAAAAAAACGGTTGTTTCATTGAATCAGTTTGTTTTCAGTCTGAGTGAACACAGAACGTAGCCATCATTTTGCAAACTGCATATTCATCTGCATGTGCCGGATGTAAACTTTGATAAGCAAGCTGCATGCAAACAAACGGACCTGCGTGGATGAATATGCAGGGTAATTGGATTAAGAAAGTTAGCAAAATGGCCGCTCCAGGCTAATTTTTGCATTTACTTTTCGTTAGACTTAAAAAGAAACATTCAAAGTGACTCGCGTAAAAAAAGTTGGTTGCTCCGATATAAACTCCCGTCACACTGTTCTGTGCGACTCCACGTTTTCTCTGCTAACGAAGAAGGACAGCGCAAAGTTAGCATGACCTATAGAGACGCATACATTTACCAGGCTGTATGGGAACTTTAGGAAAATGTTTTCAGCACGTCTGATATGTTTGAGGATATATTTTGGTGAAAATTTATAAATGCATATAAAAAATTTTTTTTAAAAACAACCCAGGGCACCTTTATTGTTTGCTGACCAAATTAATTTTCCCGTTTACCGTCGTCAGTCAATCAAAGCTGCACCAGATACACACTGGAGTTAAAAGGCGACACTGAATTTTTTTGTTGTTGTTGTTGTTGTTGAAATGTGCAGCTCAGCTTTATGTTGAACTCATTAGCTTACTCTTGCTGTAAAACCTGAATGCACTTATTGTCTTCTCCCAGCCTGTCCGTGGGGAATGTTTGTGAACAGTTGCGCCTGTGCTAACCGCTAATCAAATGTGACTCAGCAGAATAAACTCTGTCAGACCTGCCTGCAGTTTAATTTTATAGTAACCACACTAGACACATTATACGAACGCGGTGCAGAAGGTTTAGGAATATACTGTATTTACAAAACGGACTCAACATCACAAACCGGTATGAAAACTAAGAAAAGAAAGCTGCAGTAACAATAAGCATAGAAACACTCAAAAATACTATTTCCATGAAAGCAAAAATACTTTTACATGAGATTCTTTTGCACTTCCAGTTGAGACTGCCGACTAGCATTTACCACATGCCACAGATCTTGTTGCAGCTGATAGGCAGGGACTTCATAAGCAACCACAGCACAAACATATCTTTAAATAAACAGAGAAAACAGTAAAACATTCATAAATACATTTTTTTTTTAAACAGGGTTCTTCATGCACATTTGATTTGTGGTTATGAAGGCTGATGTAGCTCAGTCTGAGGATCAGGACCGACAAGGAGATGCTGTGATCACTAGAAACAGAGTATCGACTCGTGTTAACGTCACATGCAACCATCCTGAAGTTGTGCTACGAGGACAGAAGGTTACTCAGCACAATCGTTTCAACCCTTCCTCTTTAGCCATACAGATGTGTGTCTGTTTAGTGTGAGATATCAGTTGTGATCACCGTCTTTTTTGGAATGTAAACAGATTATTGCTGTTTCTGACCGAATGTCTGGATCTTGCTCATGGTTACAGATTGTTAAAAGGAGGACTCCACCAATGAAGCACTGCACTCAGATCAAAACTGGGACAGCAAAACCGCAGATATTAGCCATATCCATATAAATAGGTGAATTTCAAACAAACTTTTGAAATGTTGTTTAAAAAAACAACAGAAAAAAGGGCGATATGGTTGTAATATACAGAGTAGAAGAAGTACAAAACAAAAGCAGTTGTTTGCTAACCTCTAAAAAAAACCTTGAAGAAGAAACAAAAGTTTGTTCATCCACAGAAAAAAACGAAGACAAGTCTTAAGGAATTATTTTCAATTCTGGAAATTAAAACTATTGTTTGCTGTGAGCTGGTGTTGGCCACGATTCACACTGTACTGGATTAGTCGTGTGAGTTAAATGTTTGCTACATCCGAACTTTTTTTTTTTTTAAAGGCGTTTCCATCTTCCTTGAGGTGTTTTAACTCATTTTTGAAAACCACCTCAAGTGATTTTTTTTTGAGAACCTCAGGAACTTTTTCTAATTTAACAGATTCCATTAAACTTCTCACAACAATTTCCCTGAGGTTTGCACCAAAGGGATCAATAAAGTTCTATTCTGATGTGATACTTCAAAACATGAATTAAACTACATTTATAGAAACACGGCTGTTGTCTTTTTATTACATGAATTTTCCTTCCCTTCTTCCCCTTCTTCCTTGTAAAACCTACCTCACCCATGATTCAAATTGTCTTCCAACAGTTCAGAGATTTCAGGTGTGTTACGCTAACAGTGGCAAATGTAGCCTCAAGCTAGTCGCCTATAGCCAAGACAAGGAGCAGCTACAGAGGTCTGGTAAACATGCTTACTTTAAACCCCCAGATTTGTTTCATGTTCAGGCTTGTAGTGTTCAGATCCAACTGTTGCTGCCAGTTTATCAGGTTTCACGGATCTCCTTCTGGAGCCTCAACGACTTCTTTAACAGACAGCACACATTAATGCTCCCCAGGACCCGTAAACAGATTCGATGTGGTGGAGTTCCCCTTGACTATTTAAATACACTCTTTGTAAAAACAAACAAACAAAAACAAATAAATTCACTGCTGACACACATAGGTCCATACACAGAAACACTCTCTTCTACCATGTGGGTGACATTCCCACACAGTGGTTCCCAAAGCAAAGCTCAGCTTTACAGACTTTGTTTGAAAACACATCCAGTAAATAATAAATCTCACTTTTTTACGGACCTGTCTGTGTGGCTCATTGCTGCCCCTTGTGGATATTTCAGGAATAAACATCCACTACAACTGTGGTTCTCGTGTCGATGTTTTAAGGGCGTAGACTGTAAATAATACAGTCACTGTCCAAAACCAGATCAACTTATGTTTGAAACTTAAAAAGACATAAAACAGAGAAAAATAGAAAAAAAGGGAAAGGTTGGAACCAATGATGCTGTTAATAATGATTATCAAAAATACTTCTGTTGATTGATTACTTACTTCAAGTGCTTTCATGCAGTTTACTTTGGTTTCACGTGAGCAAAGACTGAAATGAAAAACTCACTGGTTCAATTGGTAAATCTACGTCTGGTTAACGTCCCTACCTCGTATAACAAGCTTTCTGCAGCTTTTCTCCAGGACCTACCAGAGCTTTCTGCCATGCGGTAGATAATATAGTCCGCAATGGGGCTAAGAAACACCAAGGGCCAGATATATAGACAGTGTGTGTGCATAAAAACCATGCAGACTACATGTCCCACACATCAACTCGTACTGATGAAAGAAAACATGCAACTCAAGCTGACTGAAGAAATTTAAATGAAGAGATTACATTTAAACAATTTCACTAATTCTGTTAATACTTTTGCAGCGTTCGCTAACGTCTTAATCAAAGGCACATTTATAGACTTAATTTTAAAATATTTGAGTGATTAACTTTTTTTGCCATCAGGAGCTGATGGCTGACAACACATCACCGCGATGATAGTGTGCAGGTTCATGAATCGTGCTGTGAGCGGGATAATATTCACAGCTGTGTGTAATGGCTGCACATAATGGCAGCTGTTCACTGCTTTTGAAGAAAATCACAGCAGCAGGTGAATTTTCGAGGTTTTTCGGGAAGATTTAGTGGGTGGTGGAGCGGGCCCAAGGATCGAAGTGATGTTTAAGAGCTTTACTAGGCCCATTTAAGGCATGTGGGAGTAGAAATGAGGCATGTGCATGTGTGCCTATTTCCACAGTGACTAAGATTTAAACCACAGAATCAAATGTGCGCAAAATGCAACTTTCTAAATTTGATGAAAGAATGCGTATGCATATCTCTATCATCGTGCGTACACTTGCAAGTTTTAGGCATTTTTTCCTCTCAAAGTAACAGAATTTGTTTGTTTCTTTGTTAGCTACATTATGCAATAACTATGAAGTTGGATTAAATGAAACTTGGTGGAAAGGAGGCGCACAAGCAAAGTAGAAATTTTGGTGCAGATCTGAACCCCTTTTGTTAGAATTACGAGACAGGGCATTGGTGTTTGATGTGTTTATCTATTTTTTTTTTTTTTTTAAGTGTTGCTCATGTCAAACACAACTCTCTTTTTGTGGGATGCTTAACGTACCATCCAGCTATCTGGCCCCGGGCCTTTCTGCAGTTCACCCAGCCTCGAGTGATTATCAGTACACAACAGCTTGGCAGTCAAGCGGATTACAAGGACCTCAGACACCAGTGTGTACATGCTCAGTCTTCCCTTCTGCCTTAGACAGCTTTAGGATTGTGATGAGGTAAATTCACAGTAAACTACTGATGGCACAACAAGGGAGAACAGACTGAACATGTGTGATGGGGATTTCGAGGTCCAGACTCAGTGCGCTGGGTTCACATCCTGGTTCTGATTGAGATTGTTGTTGAGATTGTGGAGCGCTTGGTGACGCTGGTGCCGGTGCAGGTGAATGGCGTTCGACTCGGGTATGTCGACGGGTTCGAACGCATTCGACACCAGGGGCATGAACTGACGGAATATGCTGACGCTGCCGTGCCAGAAGGTCGGCTGAGGTAGTCGTCCAGCAAGAGTCCAGGAGCGCGTGGTCGGATCGTAGGCTTCCACCACATCGGAGAGCTCAAACGTATTGTCATAACCACCAGACACATAGAGTTTACCACCCAGGGCTGCAACGCTGCCTCCAACGTGGACCTGAAAAAAAGACAATTTAAAACATTTACCTTCTGTTGTTATACGTATTCATGTATGAATCTAGCTGAAAAAACAATGGCATTTTTTTTTTTCTTTTATATTTTTATGCTCAAGTCAGAAATTTAAAAATGAGAAAAACAGGCCAACAGATCACGACTCTAGACTAAAGTTTCTACTTGTAGCACCGGTACTCTCAACTTTCTCAGTTGGTTGCTCCCCCATACTGCTACCCTAATTTTGGTACAATTATCAATATGGCTGGCATGCTGTCTTTGCATAACCTACTTTTGCACTGATGTAACGACTGTCAGTGACTTGAGATTTCACATTTGTTAAACAATTTAATCAGAAAATATATATATTCTGTCACCAGACTATCTGCCGGAGGTTGTCTGACATAACTAAACACAGCTAAACTTCTCACTTGCGTAACTTCTGCCAGTCAATAAACACTACAATTTATTTACTAATGTTCCCTAAACATCTCATGTGCAGACTACCAGGCAGCTGGTCAAAAATTTGTAGGAAAATAGTGAAATAAGGCAGTCTAATGATCACCATGCATTCGCACAAATGTGAAATTTTACACATGCAATTCTTTTGGTTGCACTCTGGAGCAAAACAAACCAGACCAAACTTGATTGTGATGTTGGATCGGTACAACCTGGAAGTTACTGACCTGCTAGCATGCTTCAGTTGTTAGGCTTGCCATCAAGCCGTGGAGAGTTTCATTTTAATTATTTTAATGTTGTTTCTTTTATTTTGATTTGTCTGATTTATGTACAGTGTCCTTGAGTGCCAAGAAAGGCGCCTCTAAAATGTATTATTATGATTATTATTATCATGTTCAGAGAAACCAAACTAAACAAAAACATTTTTAGCCTTTCTGTCACTCAGACCTGTTAAAATGTTATCATGTGTACTCCACATTTATCATGTACAACAACTGCAGAAGTCTGGAACTTGCTGGTCATACAAATCAGATTAACTGTTAAGGCTCCATTTGGTCTGTTTTCTTATTTCCTATTTTTGACTTGAGCACTAAACCTAAAGTAGGAAAATTGACTGTTATAAGCTTTTTAAATATATATGGACAAATAACTAAATAAACTTAATACAATTTTCATTTTCTGATTTTGGTTTCTCAATATAAAAAGACAAATGATACACATGGAGCCCCTCAACAGATAAATGGTACTAAACGCTTATCAGACAAGTCAAAAATGTAACTACATATATCAAAAAAAATAACACAGTTCAATAATTCACATGGACGATGAAAATATAAAGCTTTATACTTTTACTTTGATCCCTGGCCCAGACCAGCCATTGTCCTGAATATCTTGTAAGAACATGCACATTCTCATCTCAGCAGTAAAAGATCAACAGGAGAGTTCAAACAAAGTCTTATATTCTAATTTAATTTAATTTAATTTAATTTAATTTAATTTAATTTAATAATTTAAATTATAGCATTATTTGCTGATCTTAAATGGCCACATTCATTTAGGCATCTCTGTTACTGTATTCTGTGAAGTGAAATCAATGCGTAAAAAACGGCTGTACTGAAAACAGCAGCTTTTTGTTTGTGTTCATGCATGTGTTACCGTACTGTGATAAACCAAGCGCGGGTGACATCTGTTTATCGCGCTACATTAGAGATCACAAATGATTGCTATTAACGCATGCTGGCACCTGATGTGAAATACAAACCTGGGTCATCGGACTAATTTTGTCCCACTCGTTCTTCTGAGGATTATAGACGTCGACCTCAGCAGAGTCATCCCTACAAATAGAAACCGAAGACCGAAGTCAAATCATTGCCAAAACAAGCGTTGCTTCAAATGTATTCATGCCAGCTTCACTGCCTATTACACCAGTGATAAAATGCTTCTTTATGTTAGTAAAATTCATTTGCTTTATTTCAGAATCATTCACCTACAAATGGACAGCCCAATTAACAAGATGCATAAAGCTCTATGAAATCTAAATCTCTACTGAATTTATCTTTGAGCATGAAGGAACTGTGGAGATCAAATTATGAACAGCAGTGCACTCATGTGGTAGGACAAGAGAATGCCTGGTGTCCTCTTCTAAAGATGCTTTCATAAAATTGTTTACCAGAAGTGGGAGGAATAGTATCAGTACTACACTGAGTTAAAGTACATTCGGAGGTGAGATTCATTCTTTACATAAATGTTTTTTGTTAAACATTGGACAGATTTGTCTTGTTGGGACACAAACTGCTATTTAAATCAAAAAACTACTTGATGGGTTAAGAAGAACTCAGGCATATGAAACATAACATGGTGCCAAGTACAAACTGTTTCATTGTAAGGTGTCACTATTCATGTTCATTGAATCTTTAAGCTTATCCTATTTCACATTTCTGATCACATTTGTGGACATCACAATTACACTGGACAAACCAGATGCATTGTTTGAGTGTTTTAGCACACGTGCTAAATTCGCAACACAAATTCATTTATGTAACCCTTAACTAGTTACAGGTGTTAGATAAATATTGTGATGTAAAATACACAACAATGCATGACAGGAGCTGAAACACCAAAATTTAAGACATTCAGTTCAGACTAAGTGACTGAAATCACCTGATAAAGTAGATGAGGCCATTGAGGGTCATAGTTTTCGGCGTGAAGGACCACGGAGGGAGTTGTCCACAGTTGACCATGGTCCAGCGGTTGGTGTCTGCATCGTAGCTCTGGATGGCCATGGTGTCCTCGCCAGTCAGGGAGCCTATAGCGTAGAGGCGTCCGCTGCACGCGGCGGTGGAGCAGTTGTCCATAGGATGCAGCATGCCGGGCAAAGCCTCCCAGCTGTCCAGAGCGTGATCGTAGCGCTCAGTGCTGTCCGACGCAACCACATACAGCTGGCCTTTCAGCACACAGGAGCTGTGGTACTCGCGGGCCTTCAGCATGGGCGACACCTCTGTCCACTCGTTCACGCTGGACTTGTAGCGCCACACGCCGTCATAGAGGCGAGAGCCGTCAGAGCCACCTACAAGGACACAGACGTGTAGTTTCATAAAAACATTTCAGTTTGCTGCTTCTCAGCATCTCGGTGACTATTGCACACCAAAACAGCAGTTTCCGTTTGTACTGATGTATACTGGGAACGTAGAAGCATTTCCTTAAAAAAAAGGCCCACTTTAAAAGCATAAGTAACACCATTTAAGTTTCATAGCTTCCAGCAAATAAAACTGAATCCCATTCCCACAACAGAACGATGGCACTAAGCCTTAGGTGTCAATTTAAAAAAGTTAAGGAGAAAAATGTCGACATCAAAAACAATGCCAGAAAAACATTATGTATTAATATTATTTTTCACTTTCAGTGTCTCCTTTTGAGCTACATTAGTCCTGATCATAATTATATTCATCAACTTTCTGGGTTTTAATCCTTTAAATGCCAGTGTGTTTAGATGTTATTGTTGTTTTCAATATAAAACAAAAAAACAAAATGGATTCAGGCCAGCACTTGTGTTGAAAATGAACAGAAGTTAAGAGGGACAGCATTCATGTCTCTGCCTGGCTAATGTAATGGTTAAAAATGATGATCAGCTTTTGAAAGAATTTTCACGGTACTTTTTCCATTCTGACAATGAATAATTTATTGATTGATAATGTAGCAGACCACTAGTTAAGAAAATTGTTTTAAATTTGCATCCCTAGAAGCTTACCATGTTGTACCATGTAGAATTACACCAGTGGAATTTATCACAACTCCTACATATCAATGACTTCTCCCAGTTTACACAATTGGTTGTGCAACTCTTTTCTCACATTTCTTGGACAGAGACAAACACATTAGGAAAAAAAAACATTTGGGGTGATATGAGTTGTCATTGCTTTTGAGCAGTATTTCCAATTTTTTGACCTCTCATAATGAAAAATGAGACTAAAATGTGGACTAGACCAAATGTCGAATCTCTATGTACAGTTTATGAGAATCCATGAGATCTGCCCATCAACATTATGTAATCATTTGCTTATTTCTGTCAGTGAGGCAGTTAGCTCACACTGTTAAATTTATGGCCCACCATCAGCGCCTTGCACGAGTCACATACTCTGAGTAACTGAGGGTCTGGGAGGATTTCTCAAGGGAAACATTTTTTTCAGACAAGGCCAGTGTGCTGCTGATAATGATGGTCATGATGATCATGACGATGATAATACTGCTGCGGTCCTGGCAGCACACCATGTCCTGCCTCACTTTGCCTTGTTCACACATACAGTCACTGGCCAAAGACCCGCAGTTTATTTATAAGCACTGCCTCATGGCCATTTCATAAAATGAAGGAGCAGGAATGGAAATCTACTGACTGAAGCCTACAGACCACTGTGAATCTAAAATACAGCAAATGTAAGCACTGCACACTGTCTGTGCCTCGTCTTTTAGTCAGTGGGACACCAGACTAAGTCAAAAAAAAAAAAGCAGAATTTGATGACACAAAATGCGTTTTAAGTGTTGTGCCTTTGTGAAGCGCTATGAGATGACTGTTGCTGTAAATATGCACTATACAAATAAAATTGAATTGAATTGAATTGAATTGAAAAGTGTTGTGACCGACTGAAACTGTACCTTCCCTTTTATGATTATGTCAAATTATTTTTCTTTTTTAATTTTCAAAAAAACCCATAAAACAATAGATTTTAAGATCCATTTTCTGTCATGTTTTATCCCATTAACTTTCCTGATGTTTTAGATTTTTGCTGTTGTTTGTTTTGGTAACTATTGGTATCTATATATTTAGGCAGGTATCAAAACAAAGTCAGAATTTTGGTATCTAGACATTTCCAACAATTATTTCCATTATCATTTAGCCTGTTGATTATTTCCTGGATTAGTTGTTTGGTCTATAAAATGTTGCCAATGGTTCCAAATGCCACAACGACATTCTAAAATGTCTTGTTTTGTCCTCAACCCAAAGAAATTACTGACATAGGAAAAAATAATCAAATTCAAGAGGAGAATTTTTAGCTTTTTTTCACAAGATTACTAAAATCATTGCAGCCCTACTTTAAAAAGAGTCAAACAATTCTTAAAATAATGTTTCTTTTAGCAATAATGGAATTTGAGTTTTTACTGAGGCCTCCCCAATAATTCTGAAATTCCTCAGTGATTTTGGAATGCAACCACTGTCTTCTGCCTGGCTGAAAAGGTGTGTTTGGGGAAAGGCATATGTGAGTGTCTTTAATGGACTTACCTGTGACATACATATCATTTCCAAGGGCAGCTATGCTATAACCTCCTCCGAGGTGATCGGGGAATTCAGCCAGGTAGCGCCACTGTCCAGTCTGAGGGTTGTAACAGTCCACTGTGACCAGCTCGTCACAGTCCTGGTCGCAGCCTCCTACCACCACCAGGATTTCTGCTAATCCAGTGGAAGGCCGTGGCCGCATGCGCTGGCAGGGCCTGTCGTGGCGGTCATATTCACACGACTGGAAGCTGCGAGCCTCGTTCACCATCCGGAGGCATGTTGGTGAAAGGTAGACGAGTGGGTCGCTCTCCACATGGGCCAACAGAAAGAACCTCCTGACGAAGGGGAGTCGAACCTGCTGGAGGAGCTCAGGCCAGTAGTGCAGCCGCCGCTGGAGATCAGCCTTCACCCAGCGCACTGCAATTTGATAAACTGTCTCTTCCTTGTCCACACAAAGCTCATTGTCTGACACAAACTCAAGGAGACGCTTCCACGGCAACCGCTCAAAATCCGTTCCTTTAGCCAGCTCCATTATGTTTTTGAGGACAAAGCGCCGCGCACTTGTTGCCAGCTCTCTGCAAGCATAGGCCTCTGCAAAGTCCTGGATCTCTAAGCAGTTGGAAACATCCAGCCGCTGCTCCAGAAAAGCACAGCAGGCCTCTTTGACTGAGGGGAACTGAAACAGATCAGCCGTCTTTAGCAGGAGGTCCACATTATCCTGAGTGACGGTGACCCGTCCTGTGTAGCAGAAGTCCACCAGCAGGCCTAAAAGCTCAGCTGATACCTCATGTAAAACTACTCGGTCCATAACACTCTCTCTCAGAGTTCCTGCAAACATCGCCCGGAAGTAAGTGCTGGCGGCGGCCAACACCGTGCGGTGGCAGTGGAACTCACGACCCTCGGCACATAAAGTCACATCAAAAAACTTCCTTTCTGCTCGAAGTTCGTGGATTCCCCGCAGCAGATTGAAGGCGTGGGCCGTGTCAAAAAAAGGTAGCGTGGACGGCTGTGTCTGCAAGACTGGCTTTTCCATCTCTCCTCTGTCTGAGTGTCTCCTTTTCCAGTGGTCGTGCTCAGAATGCTGTTTTCATCTGAAACAAAAGATAAATACCAAACACATATGTCAAATTCCAACCCAGCATACCATGTAAGGCTACGACAAATGATTATTTTCATGATTAATCACTTCCTTGGTCAATAAAATTGAAAAAGAACAGTCAAAATACACATAAAGTGTCCCAAGTTGACATTCTGAATTCCTTGTTGTGTCAGACAACAGTCTAAAACCAAAGCATACATGTTGCAACATGTTCAGTTTTCAGTCAGGTAAGTGAGAGAAAAGCAAAGAAATTCTCGCAATTGAAAAGCTGATAAAAGCATTTTGACAGTTAAAAAATTACCTAAAATGTTAAGAAGTTGCCAAGTAGCCACAGCAGCTCTTATATCATGTGTCCGATTGTCAGACATGAATCTGTTTTAGTTGACTGAACAAGCAGAAATGGCTTTGACAGTTTACAACATCCACTAAAGTTTCAAAGACCAAAAACAAAAGAAAAGTATTACATTTCTACAACTTCGCTGCCACATGAAATGCCAACAGGCAAACACATCCAAACTCATTTTCATTAGTTGACTGTATTAGCAAGCAGTGATCACTTTAGAAATAATACAACCAAACAAGCAAGCAATGTAACACACCAACTAAATGAATGATTTTAGAATCAAAAAGTCATTATTGTTTTTTCCCCTACCTGACGAGCCCCTCCAGGCACGTTTCACAAGCAAAGCAAAAGTCTAGAATACACGAGAGCAAAGCCCAGCACGACTCTGGTGAATATGACCAGCTCCTTACCCGCGTTTAAGAAAGAGAGCTCGCTTGTGGTCTGGGGCTATAAATACACCAGCAGTGTCCATTTCCACACAGGGGTGGGAGGTGTGGGGGATTTGGGGGAGAACACCTAACATGCAGTGGGCTGTGGCTGTGTGGAGAGTATAACTCCCCCACTGGTATGCCTCTGTGACCAGTCAGCATGAGTAAGTGGTCTCTGAGAGAAGAGCCAGCTGAGCCTGGGCCTCCTCACCACATTCAGCACAGCAGCAGACCAAAACACAGCTCCCGGTCCTGATATCCAGAAATCTGCTTACCAAAGCACCGCAGACGCACAGATCTGCTGCGATCACAGGTTCAAACACAGCAAGGAGTTATCCGGAGTCTTTTAATGTGAAACTAGCTGTCAATCATCAAGAACATTAATCAAATAGATAATCTCCCCATTGATGGCAGAGTTGGTTGGCCAATCTGGTCCACACAAAATTATCTCAACTGCTGTTGGATGATTTCCACAATATTTCATTTGCAGAGGATGAAATTTGACTTTTCCTCTACTGTCATCATAAGATCTGTGACCATTTTTTTTTTTACTACAAATACTACATAACTATTATCACTATAAACCATTATTTAAACTTGGAGTTACATTGAGGTACAATAATCAATTAGTTAATCAATCAATTACAATCAATCCAGACCTTGTTCCCATAGTAATTTTCATGAAGTGATGAAGAGAGCAAACCCGATTTTCTCGGATTTCATTAAGGTAGACGCCCCATTTACAATACAGTCAAACAAAAACAAAGACTAACTGGGGTGATGTCGGACACAGCTTTTAGCATTACCTGAAACTAAATTAGAGATGAAGTTGATTTAATTCAGTTAACTAATTTGTAATGATTACAAGCAGTATTTATGATTTTTTTTGCAAGAAAAAATGCTGTGGTTCCTCTAAAATTTCATCATTAGGTGCTCTTTTCTTTTCTTCTCTTTAGATTGTTGTACTTTAATTATCTTTGAAGATACCACCTGGAACTGTAGGAAACTGTGGTGACCATTTCTCATATTTTTCTGACATTTCACAGACGAAAATGTAATTAATTTACTGAAAAAACAATCCACAAATTAACTGATCATGCAAAAAGCAGAATCCTTCAGCCCTAAACTCAATATCTTTGGGATTTATATTGTTGGTCAAACAAAAGGAAATTTCAGTATATCACTTTGGGATCTAGACAACTGAGCCAGCTATTTCGATCCATTTACTGACATTTTATAGACCAAAAGACTAATTATTTGGACATTAATCAATAATGAAAATAGATGCAAGTTGCAGTCCTGGTCATCAATGTGGAAATTAACTGAAATACTTGGATGACTGTTCAGATAATAATCCGTCACATACTGAACCTAGAAAAGGTTATAAACAGACTGCATCTAAGTCCTAAAATATATATATAGTAACAACATCCTGCAACTCATCTGTGGCTGCAGTTTATTCTGACCTTGTATTGAGATTCAATTTCAGTTATTCACTCCTGTTGAATCACCAGGATAACTGGAATGGACTGTGGGGTTGCTAGTAACCAGTATTAAATGCTCATCCAAGTGTCTTGTCAATATTTGGAGATGATCATTCCTTCTCAAAATACACAGGTATTACCTTACAGAGATTTGTTTAAAGGTTGTAATAAAGCCCCTGGTCTTCTGGCCAAAAGATTTAGCACACATTCCACACCGGGGTTCAACAATGCAGCGGTCCAAACAGCTCTGCGAGGGATCAAACTGCTCTCCTGAAGGGCAGACGGGGCCTCACAACCCAGACCTGCTCTGAAAAAACACATCTTCCCAGCTTCTGTGTAAGTGATTGTATTTATGTTAGAGAGGATGATGGAATTTCCTTGCAGAGAACTGATGAGCTTTCCTTTCACTCGGATGTGATCTCTTACTCCCACTGCCCCCTTCTACTTCTACTTCTACTTTATATATGTTTTTGGAGTTTTATCTTTTACTATGCATTATCACAAACAGCAAACACTGAAGGGTAGTTTAATACTCCAACAGTCAGGAGCACTGAGCAACTTAGGACCGGTGTATTTACCAACCAGTTCCAAGAATAGCTGGTAGAAATGAATACTCTCAGAAGGAGGAGAGAGGGGAGGAAAGAGGAAGGGAAACAAGAAGAGGTGGAAACAATCTCACTGCTCTGAGTGACGAGCACAGAGAGACCAGTGTACCAGCCAGGATATAACTATGACCCCACCTACCTAACCCTGGCTACAGAGGTGAAGGGGACCCAATGCCCCCTTTCCTTTACTACTATAACAGCAATAGCCTGTCTGCACCTGGAGTTCAACTCCTGACCTGCAGGATGAAAACACTCAGAGCGGTGCAATGCTGTTAGTCAGAGGACTTAGCGTCATCCAGGCCAGAACTCTAGAGGATGGCTGGTGTGTGTTATTTTCTATTCCTTAAAAAGGTTGATGAGAGGGTCTATTCCTGTATTTGGGAGCCATTTTGCCAATGTATGTGTAGACAAACAATCAGAACTACTGTAAATAGAAACTAGGAGATTACTCTGACATCTAAATGAACCTACTGCACTGAATCAGAGTTGAAACATCCAGTAACAAGACACAAAGTCTACAGCCATAATAACAGCTCTGTGAGGCTGAACCACACAGTAGGGCTGTAGTCTCCGGGCCGATCGGCCAGTAACTTGGTCAATATCCTCTCAGTTCTTAATTCTTCCTAGTTGGACTACCAGAAGTGGTACATTTACAAGTAGAAAAAGCACCACATTGGCAGTTTTCCAGGATGAATCCATCATTTTTGGATTCACCTTTGAAGCCACCCAACCTAATGAAGGCTGCTGCATCTATCTTATTTAACATTTGTGTTTTCTCAACATGTGCTCAGAGTTGGCTCCAGACGAAAAAAATAATAAATGTGATTTTACAAACATTGGTTTGCATATTACAGCTCAACAACAAACATGGCAGGTCTTCCAAAAACTGTAGGCCAACTTGTTTTAGTGACAACAGCATATTTAGTTTAGTTTCCTGCTGCCCCCACCATGATGCCTCCTGTTACAAAAGGACAATACCTTCTAAAACCTTATTTAACTGTAAACTAAATTTTATAATTCATCCTACATCCACCCAACAGGTCGAGGTAGATGGCCGTCCCTCCCTGAGCCTGGTTCTGTTGGAGGTTTTTGGTTCCTTCCCACTGTTGCAGACTGCTTGTGGACTGCTGAAGCTTATAGGGAATCCAAATGTTTTGGATTGTTGGGTGTTTCTGTCTCTGCCTTTGTTAAGCGCTATGAGATGACTTGTTGTAAATATGCGCTATACAAATAAAATTGAATTGAATTGAATTGAATAGTAGGTATAGTGTTTACTATGTTCACCATCTTACTTCAGCCTGGTACCTTCCTGACATTTGCGAATTTGCGAATAAGCTTTAAACAGAGCACATCTGCAGGTGATGTAAATGGCATTAGTTTGTTAGACATTTGATCAAAAATTAAAAGACTGAACAAACTACATTTTGTAGATGAAAATTTAAGAACTTAAATTATTACAAGTAATCTTATGACGGACAATATATCAAAATAATTGTACACCAATCCATTCAAATACATTGTGGATCTTCATACAGAGATCCGGTATCGCCGTCTAAGATAGTTCAGATACGTCCACCGTTCATCAACAAAATCAGCAACTTGGATGTCACTGGAAAAAGAAAGAGGGGGAGACCCAGGAAAACATGGGAGGAGCTGGTGTTAGGGGACCTAGCGGATAGGGGGCGAACCCCTGATGATGCCCTCGATAGGGATAAATGGTGAATGGAACTGCGAAGCATCCGTGCATCGTCTGACACACTGCTAGTGTCCCAACAGACGTTAACGGGATGGGATAAGTAAGTAAGTAAGTAAGTAAGTAAGGTTGTAACCCCAGAATGACAGAATGGGATAGAATAAAAGTTACGGCATCACCAAAATCACTAATAGTTTACCATAACTGTGTATCCATCAATCCACCTTTCATTAAGATATTTTACAAAAAACTAAAATATTAACTTTACTTTATGTTGCCATGAAAACAAAAATCAGGGAATAATGACTCTAAGACAAAGTTTGGTGGCAAACCATCACATAGTTGCTGAGACATTTTTGTCTGCTGCAAAGTAGTGGAGTGTCCATGCAACATCACCTGAAAAATGAAACGGCAAACCATTCAAAGGCACATGACTTAACGGAAACAAACCCACTGTTCCATAGAACTCTGGTTTCCAGGAGTCTCAGTTCTCAGTGAGGGCATGTTTATCTGGGAGCTGCTTTGTGGATTTGAACACAGTAAATCAAAAACAGTGTCAGTTTACATGTAGGTGTAGACACAGTGTGTTCCTCGTCTCCTGGTTTTAGTACCAGCGTTGCCCCTTGCTGGTGCAAGCTTGTTATTACCCCCTAAGACAATTTCCATACAGGTTATGGCTCTGTTGTGCATTTTTGTCAGTTTGGTAGCAATTATGGATGCAAATTTTAAACAATTTTCTTAACTGATAGTCAGCCATGTTACCAATCATTAATCAGTTACTGGTTCATCATTAATACGTGAGCTCTGGGTGGAGGTTATTACGGATCACAGAAGTGTTTGTCATGGTGGCCCACTGCCAGCTACAGCTGCACAATTCTCTCTACTTGTCAAGACAGAACTGAGTCTGAGTGACCGGCTCCTCAGGTCACGACAGTTTTAAACACAGCAAATGATCTTCAGTCTTCCATTTCACTAAACAGCAGGAGGCTCCACCGGGTGGTGCAACCAGGTACTTCAGCTAATCTACAACACGTTTTCATGCATGCATGTCCCTCGTCTTCTGCCTTATCAGTTAACCTTGTTTTAACTGGCTAACTTCATTAATCGATAAATCATTCACATTCCTAGTTTAAACAGTAAATAGTTCCTCTGTGCACAGAATTATCTTGCTGAAACATAGCTGTTCATGTTAACAGGGTGCCTGCAGGGTTTACCAAGTATATTTAAGATATTTTAAGACCTTGTAAGAAAACGTACAATGCCATTTTGTATCATATGGCATAAAATGGAGGAAGTGGCAACCCTTGTTCATCACTAGATACAGTACAGTATTTAGGAACACCACAGATCAGACGGGGCATCGACATTGATAACTGATATGCGTCTGCTACAGCTCTAACAGTATAAACTAAAACTTCAACAAAGAAACTGAATATCTTCTTGTGGGACAATCCACTGTAACAACAATACTATTTTCAACAGGAGTTGCGGCAGTCAGGTTTTTAAAAAAGTCTTTCACTGTCCACAGCAGGCAAGACAAAA